CAGCATGGGGCGAGATCCCGAAGGTCTGTGTCACTAACTATCACCCTTCCTCCACACAGTCAGCCACTATCAAAGTGGGCCACATTCTGCTGGTTACAGCAAACTCCACACAGGGAATGAGCTCCGGAAAACACAGGAACTCAGAAACAGGAGCCCATGGCTTCCGCAGCGGCACAGCATTCCGTCCCAAGAGCGGCGTGTCCGTCTCAAGCCGAGAACCTCTGCCGAACATGCCTAAAAATACGCAGGCAACTGGCGGAGGGCTGACATTTCTATGCGTTTGCCTTCCTTTAAACAGATCCAGACTCTCTCGCCATGTGCTCACTTGGGTGCTTTTGAAAATGGAGGGTGGAGAGGCGGGTTCTGTTTTCATATGAGAGACATTTAAAAACCAGACGAAAAACAATCAAGCAGGGGCAGGAGGGGTCATATTTTTTCCATGGATGGGAGGATGCGTCCCGGAGGAGAGGTGGGCGAGGTCAGCCCAGGTGAGCGTGTACAGCACCTCACCGCGACGTGTCCCGAGGTCTGAAGCCAGGGAACATTTCTAATGTAGCCAAACCGTATATTTATCATGTATATTAATAATGTATATCTTCCAGCCTTTAGCCTGTGATCAAGACCCATAATGGATCTTGTCAGTTTCATATCTAACACACCGTGAGAAAGATTGGCACCATAGTCTAGGGAGAACCCAGCATGTTTCTCCTGGATACATGGGTGTGGAAAATGCAGGCTTGAACGCTCAGCCAAAGCCTGCATTCCAAGCAACGTACAGTTTTCATAACTGGATATTTTCACTGAAACAGCCCAGGTTAAGTTCCATACACAAGGGTATCACAGCAGGAATCCCCCTGGGAGGGGGTCCCCGCTCCTAACCAATATGCTGCCTTTCTACTGTCACCCATAGGAGCTGCAGTTCTTAGTTACAGCATTTAACCCCATTGAAGGCCATGTGGGAATGGCTGATGTTGGTATTAAAGCTGTCGACCTTTAGCCTTGGGGCATACCCCACCCCTCCCAATCCTCCCAACTGAAATGGGAAACGATGATGTGAAAGATGACGCGCGACTCGGATGCCAACCCAATGGGGCCGTGTTCTCGGGCGGTCTTGAGTTGCTCTGCATCAGCACTTTTCAGCCTGGGGGATTGCAGGTCATGTTCATTTTAAGGACGTGCCCTCCTGTGGCTGGTTTCACCTGACCTTTGAGTGACCTTCAAAGCCCCTCCTCACGATGGTGACGTGAATCAAACGGGGAGTCGTCTCTAGGTACGATGATGAAGGAAGCTGGGGAGGAAGCCGGCGGGAGGCACCGAGAGGTAGAGATGGAGAGACAGGGAAGGCTGTAAGGGAGAGAGACTGAGAGATCAGAAAGATTAAGGTAGAAGCAAACGGAGGGAGAGCTAAGGAGGTCAAAGCAGGAAAAGCGAGGGAAGATTTATAATCAAGGGTTAAGCAGTCGCTGCATTCGGGAGATAAGTTATGGTATGTTGTTGAGCAAAGACAGGATCAGGAGATTACTGGTGTGCTTAGGTGTCTTAAGATTAGCTGTATACCGGAAATTCAACTCTGGGGCTCGGGAGAGAGGCAGAGAGAGGAGAAAAAGGAGAAGATGGGATCGATAATGGGCTCAGGGAGGAGCCGAGAGCTACCGCAGGTCCAGAGGGGCGTTTCCAGCACACGGCGCAGTGGCTGAGAGACTTGGGCTGGTGGCCAACTGGTTTTAACAAACGAAACCACCGTCGTAGCCTTTAATAAGGCACTTAACCAGAGCGTCTTCTGTAAATAGCAGTGTAAACGAGCAAAAGTGTAAAACCCCAAGCTGAATAAAACCATTTGCTAAGGACAAAGGAAGAGAATGCATCCTTATCTGTCGATCTGAACCACAGAGGAGGATTCCTGGGAGGAAGACGGCAATGAATAAGCCAGTCTCACCCGGGAAAAGGCCAAGAAGAGACAGAATTTTGGTAAATCCCTGGAAAATCCGGATGACAACTTCAGTCTTAATGCACACAATTATTTATAAGCAGACTTACTGACATGTCTGCATCTGGGTCACAGTGACACCCTTGCAATCTGGGTCTTACCACATTGCCAAAATATACCAGAGTGGACCCAAGGGGCCACTTTCCTAATAAACATCCCTATTCTGTGGGCAGCCAATTACCTGAGGAACCGTGCAGTGGCTAAATGCTTAAGTGAGTGTTGCAGAGCATATGTTGGACAGCGAGGTTTCTTATTGAAACGCGTCCTCATTTCCTAATATGGAGCCAGTGGCTCCCCAATCCTGTCAGCTGACCTTTATTTCCACAGCTGTATTGCACAGATCATTAACATGCAGTAAATACATTATGCATCCATCCATCCATGCAACTATCTTCCAACTGTGCATCCAGTAGAGGGTCACAGGAGGGAGCTGGAGCCTATTTCCAGCAGCTCATGACACAACACAGGTGAAAGGAATGCCAGTCTACCAGAGTTAATAATCATCCATCCATCCATCCATCTTCTGTAACCACTTATGCTATTCAGGGGGAGCCAATCCTGGAGGCTACGAGCACAAGGCAGGGAACAACCCAGGATGGGGTGCCAACCCACCGCAGGGCACACTCACACACCATTCACTCACACACACACACACATACACACCATTCACTCACACACACACACACATACACACCATTCACTTTCACACACACACATACACACCATTCACTCACACACACACACACACACACACCATTCACTCACACACATACACACCATTCACTCACACACACACACTCACACTTCATTCACTCACACACACACACACACTCACACACCATTCACTCACACACACACACACACACACACACACACACACATACTCACACACCATTCACTCACACAAGCACACCTAAGGGTAATTTGGCAACTCCAAATAACCTCAACATGTTTTTGGACTGTGGGGGGGAACTCGGAGTGCCTGGAGGAAAGAAATTAATAATCATCAATAGAACAACTAAAACCCTCCAAACACCAAGTATTGTTAAAGTAAAATAAACAGGCCTGTAATTCAGTTTATGATCAGCTATTTGTGCAAAAAGAAATGCATAACTACAGCTGCAGGCTTCCGGGACACAGATGGATGCTTGAATTGCCATAAACCTTGATGCATTCTGGATTCTTCTGGATTCTCCAATCAATCCATCAGCTCTTACATTTCAAATGTTTGCTGTCCTTCTCCTCCATGATGGTGAGTTTTGCCCAATTCCACAGCACTAATGCAGTAATGGAGATTTATCCCCGTAATATGTGATGTCTGTCTGTTCATTGCAATAAGGAATGTGAATTGCTCTTTGCAATATGGAATGAATAAATCTGCAGATTGTTGCGTTGCAAAAAAGAAAAGAAATGAACTGTAATAAGAAACACAAATCCATTTACTGCAATGAGAAATGTGTATCTTTCTCTTGCAATCAGGCATTCATATATCTGATTTCGCAATAGGGAATGTGGATCTCTGCATTTCAGTGGGGGTACAGAGCATGATATTGTAATGAAGAGCCACCTCTATGGGGGAAGATAAACATGAAAAGCAATGATATAGTGTGACAACTGAAGAACAGGATGGATCTGTTGTCGCATTAAAATCTGTGCAACGCTGAGTACAGTTTACAGGCCTCATCCTGCAGCAGAGCCCCCCCGCTCTCATCCTGCAGCAGAGCCCCCCTGCTCTCCCAGCACTGTCATCATCACTTTTTAAAGGGTTTTCAATTCAAACCTTCTGCCTGCCCTTACATTAGGCCAAGTAAACCTGTCAGGAATATTACATTTACTTTAAAGCCTGACCTGGCAGGAAAGTCTTCTAGAAGCAGCGATGACAGTTTTGCAGACATGCTTAGCTGCTGTCACGAATAACACGGCCATTTGTCCATACATGGGAGAGTCACAGGCATGTCAGTTGGGAGGAGATTTTGGAGGAATTCAGTACGGAAAAAAGAGGAAAATCATCACTCTGGAGAATCTCCGCCAGGAGAGTTGCATCACAGGTACACAAACATGCAGTTTCAGCTGTGTGAGAGCAGCCTGTGCTGCCCCCAACCCCTCCCAAAGCCTGTGCCTGGGCCCATTCTTCATACTGAATCAAACATTTCCATACAGTGAATGAGAAACTGAGATATGGCACCTGTCCTTCAGATTGGCCCAGAGACGAGGGCCAATCAGCTGCTGGGCTGCCTGAGCCTCTCACTCACACACAGTTACTTCACAGAAACAGAGTATAACCACTGACAGGCTAAAGTCCTCACACTGTAACAGCAGCGTGCCGCACACAGAAATATAGCTACACACCAGATAATGTAGCCAACTAGCTAGAAGGTTAAGCTGCGTGTCTGTCCTCCACACCCCTGGCTCACACTTTATTGTCCCCGAGGCCTGTTCTTCAAGGCAAAGAACAGCCTAAAAACTGATACAGGGAGGATGTCGTGACTCTGCCCCCCTCAGAGAGTAGCAAGAGAGGACAGGGCCAGCTGATGCCGGTTAAAATGTTGGGCAGAGGTTGGAGGCGATGTTCTAATGATGCCTGCAGGAGCAATCGCTCGTTTGAGTCCACTTTACAGTCACAAATAAATCAGAGCATGTAAAAATAAGACATCAAAGGCCCACATGCAAACAGAGTAACAGAAACACTGAGCCCCAGGACTGTACATGCTACTGCGGTCAGGTTATTTATGCCTTGGTGTTTACAGCATACAAGCTTCCTCTGAACAATCACTTCCATACCCACAGAAAAGCCCTAAAACACTCAGCTGTTACTGTTCCTTGTAAGAAGCTGATAACTTAATAGCTTAAAAAGCCAATCAGTGCAATGCACTCGTGTCGATTGGCTTCTTTTTAGATGGAGGGCTGTAGCTGTCACTGCGGTGGCCTCTGAACTCCAAACCCCAGGAGCAGGGAAGACAGGAAACGACGACTATCTCCAAATAATAATAAGAAGAAAAACACACCAGCTTACCTGCTCCTTCATGGTTCATCTTCACAGCAACCTGCATAAAAGGAAAAATACCAAATCACACACAAAGCATGTACAGAAATACAAAAGATTAACAGCAGCATACCCAGCAGCTGTTGGAATAGAATAAGGCTGCACCTAAAGTTCATTCAAAGTTCATCCATGTACATTTATTTTTCCAACAGGTGCCACATATTTTCTTCATTTTACAACTTCACCCTAACCATGCACATAAATATCTGTGGTAAGTATCCACATATCAAATGTACTGCATTACATTGTATGTGTCATGCCTCATACGAGCAGTATTTGAAGAGTGTCAAATTTACTTACATATGCCGTACTAAACAATCTTTCCAGTGTGATTCTAGCCTTTGAACAGAGCTGTAACGCTACTGGTTCTACTTTGGAACATAAAAGAACATAGAACACTCAACTGAAGTCATTTTGAATTCCGATCAGTGCTAAAATAAATATGAACATGGAATGAAGAACTCGAAACGCTGCTGAGATTAACAACATGGAATGGGGAACTCATAGAAGCGGTAAGATAAATAGGAACATGGAACCTGGAATTCAGAACAGAGCACTTGTTCCACAATGAGCAAGATCTTTGCCTGTCCCTGAAGTCGTTTCTCTAAGGTCAGGCAACTGGACTTCAAGGTAGTTAACCTTTCTCAAAGTGAAAGTGCCATCTATGTTTGTGGGAGGGGGGTGCTTCAGCATTCCAAAGCTAATCTTCTGGAATCTTTCTCTTCCTGAACAAATCCCTTGTCTTTGTATTCAACCATCCAAGTCAATCTTAACTAACATCTCAGGAAACCCAGAAAATATCAGTCTCCGACTCTGATCTCTAAGCCTGTCTGTGCTGAATTACATTCTTTCTGTTCAGCACACCGAACCACAAACTGCCAGTTCTGAGAACTAAGTTGCCCCCCCCAGCCTTCCTACCATTAAAATATGACCTATGGCAAAATTGGGATGAGATTTAAAAATGCATCATTCAGCGTCCTTTTGAGAACCTCTCCTCAGGATGTCTAATTTCAGAAGTAGGCAAGACCACAGTGTGCGACATAAGAAAACAAACAATAGTCAGTCAGCAGTGAGGTCTGTGCACTTCTCCTGGTCCATGCTGGCCTTTCCACTCGCTGTCCTTCTCAGCTTTAAATATCTCCTCTCGTAGGCTTTCTCCTTCCTTAGCACCATCTCCAGGACAACAGTGCCTCTACTTGCTCTTTCCTCCAATCCTGCCCTCAGCAAGGACTCATCTGTTGAAACTGCACTGATGTTTTTTGCAGACAGTTCAGCTAAAATTAATCCCGAGGAAAAACAGGCATCACACAAAAAAAGAGAAAAAGTGAAGGGCCTGGTCCTGAATACTCCTGTTATGTGGATGTACACTTTTTATAGCATCTTCCAACCCTTAAACACATTCTTCCAATTCTTTATTCAGTTCATGTAACTGGTGTCCCATAAAGGAAGACCTTGCCTTGAACTCTTCAGAATACAGAAGCTATATCTGCAGCTATTGAAAATGGAAGGACGGACAGATTTATTGAATTCAGTTTACTGCTGTTTTTCAGCATTCTCCTTACTGATGGACAATGTTTCTACCAATCAGCTAAATTCTCATGCTACTGACAGAAAGAAACTAGTAGCACCAGGTCCAAATATTAGCTTGCCTAAGTCCTTCCTGTGTCTACAATGCACTCTCCTGGTAAGGTTATGTTACAGTATTTTAAAAGCAAATTATTGACATGAATGCCCCTCATTCCCTCATTGTTCACCAGTGATCAAGCTCCAGAGTCACTGTCAGCCCCTCATATGCCTGGATGAGCGAACGCTCTGATGTTTATGTGTAGTTTTCTGGTGCAAATCGCAGGTGGGAATTACGCAACATGATCCGCGAACTCCCTCATGTTCGGGATTTTTATGTAGCATGCACGACTAATCGGAAGCACATTTACTCACGTCGCTGAATCCACTGAAAAAGGTGGTACCATATAAAAGGTTTAAGATGGCATTCCAAAAACTAGACCAGATGTGTCCAGTCATGAAGACAAATCTCCTCTGGTTCCTCCACCGGGGGTACCCCACGGAGCCATTCGGGGGCCCATGCTTATTAACCAATGCCTGGCAACCTATTCTAAGATAGACAGATCCACAGTGCAGAACCCATAAATCCCTTGTCAGCTCCTCCTATCTCAGTGAATAAAGTCCTCCCTCTGGCCTTTAAACCCCCCCCCCCCCCCCCCCCCCCCCCCCCCCCCCCC